AGGCCTGCTCCTTCTGAGCTTTGGCCCGTGGCCGCTCTCCCCCTGCTGGGTCTTTCCCCGTTTGGGCGGGCCCTGTGGCCGCCTATCTCAGCTGCTCTGCAGGCTGCTCCTCTTCGGACCGGTCCCTCCGAAGGCCCTCCTGGGGAAAGCCCGCACAGGAAGGCCCGTGTGGCTCTGTGAAGTGGCCTGGTGAGTCGACGGCCAGGAAAGGGGACGGCACCCTCTCTTGCCTGAGTCAGTCCAGGAAGAAGTGATCCCTCAAGCATGAGCCAAGCTCAGCCGCACGCCAGAAATGCACCCAAATTATCTGACACTGCTGGGCCCCAAACACCTCGCAGGCCTCCTCCTTGTATGGGAATGCGTACACCTGGCTAACTGGGGTGGTTCTGAACCGTGGGGCAGGGATGTGTGCAGAGCAGGCCACGCCAGAGTGGAGCCAAGTCACTAGTATGTACTGGAAGAACTCACACCATGAAGCGAAACCATTTTTTTTTTTAAATTTTGATTTTTACATACTGCCTTGTTGCCATAGGCTTCAGGTGGTTTACAAGAGATTAAACCAACAATAATTCAAATTTTTACTAAAAACAAGAGCATTAAATAGAACTGATCTGGGAACTAACTTAAGAGCCACACTGAGACCTGTCCAGTCCTGCCTTCCGTTCACATGGTGGCCAGCCGGCTGTCCGGGAGCAGCAGGGCTTTTGGAGTACACAACACGCACCCCAGGAAAAAACAGGGAAGGGGGCCTGGATCGCTTTGGTGAGGCCAGCAGCACGATGCTGCAGTGTAGAGAGCACCTATTCCGGATCCCAGCAAGCCAGCCACAGCCATCTACAGGACTCTCCGTACACGTGCCCACCATTCCCCCCCGACGAGCCAGCCTCTGTTAAAGCACATGCGCCCTGCCGGATAGTGGGAAGTGGGAAGTGGGTCAAACCTCTCTTCAGTCGCTGGAGTGCCTTCCTGGTGGGTAGCCCTTGATCTGCTTGGCATAGAAATGTTATAATAATAATAATAATAATAATAATAATAATAATAATAATAATAATTCCCCCAACTCATGGCCAGAGGGAAGAGAGATGGGCCGGCAGCGGCACAATGAACCACCAGGCTCCTCAAGGCACTGCCTGTGCACAGAGCCCTCACAGACTTTGCAAGAACGGGCTGGTCCCTTGAGATCCTAAGTGAGCAACACTGGATCTAATCTTGTGTCCAAGCTCATGAAGGAATGGAAAGGCTACTGGTATCTCTCCCCACAGTCATGGGACCACTGCACTGGCAGAGGGATCTAAAGGGGGAACGGTACACGGCAAGGACTGGGGCAGAATACTGCAGCAATTACAGCTCGCCTGCTGCCCCACACCTCACCCCCATCTAGGCTTCTCTCCACGTGAGCTGCCCTTTGGCAGGGAAGTCCGGGTCCCATGGACCTCCCGAAGCTGCACGCTCCATGCAAGCTGGACTTCTTCTCAGACCCTTGCGAGGAGCACCCGGCCCGCCTAGAGACCATGCTGCGGGGGCTGAAGCAGCATGACTTGACTGCTGAGGCCAAGATGCCATTCTGCAGTGGGCAAGACCAGACACCTGGAAGCAGGTGCAGCCCTCCTTGGGTCTTACAGAAGACTTCCGAAAGACCGAGGCACCTCGGCTCCCCCCTCACAGACCCTGTCCCTTGAGAAGAGTCTGGGCAGAGGCTTGCCAACAGAAGGGAGACAGGCTGAGAGAGGCGCAATCCACTTTCCCAGTGCTGTAAGCTTCTGCATTCTCCTAACCACAATGCCTCTGACAGGGAAGTGGGGACGATGGTAACTGGGAGAGGCTGGATCACCCACTACACCCGATACCGTCACTCAGCAGAAAACTCACAGACCAAGAGAGGCCCTGATGCATCTCAGAGAAAGAAAGCTGGGGTTTGATATCTGCTGTCTGAAAGCTGCATCTTGATCTATGGGAGAAGCAGCTCACCGTCTACACAGATCTCTCCATTTTGCAATGGCTACAGGGGACCAAAGTGCAAGAAGGGAAGCTCCTGCACTGGAGCCTGACCCTACAAGATGTGGATTTTGAAACCAAGCACATCCTGCAAAAAGACCACCATTTTCGCAACGTTCTGTTGAGGGAGTGGACAGAAGCACTGTACCTCCACCGTGCACGGAGCTCTCCCTCTCGGCATGCTTCCTGCCTGTATCGTGTGAGCAGCGCAGCCCACCACAGGTCCCAAGGAAGGCATGGGACCACGGCAGGAACCAGGGCATGTTCCAGTTCTCTCGCGGGAAGGAGAGTTCTGGTTGGCCTGGAATGGCCCATTCAGCCAGACCGTACTGACTCCATCTTGCCCATGTCTAAGAGGCAGAAACCTCCTTTTTGCCCTCAGCGGCAGGTCTCTACTTAGCCAAAAGCCAGGTCACTTGGTGCTGACACGGCAACGCAGGTGACCTAGCAGGGGTCACCTGGCTGCCATTTAGCCAATCTATTCAACAGCCAACTGTCCAGCTGTTCGAACAGCAGGAACCTGCTAGAGCTGGGGAGGACAGTCAGCAGACACGCACACAGGAGATTCCTCTGAAATCTCCACCCAGGCTGGGGTGAGAGGCTGAGGATATTTACTCCACAGAGAAAGTGTAAGGCAGCGGGGGGGGGGGGGGGAGGTACCGAAATAAGGGGCTGTGAGATTGCGCCAGGAGGTTTTGGCCAAGGCTTCTGCGCCCCAGGTGCCCGAACGCACTCTCCCCCAACCAAGGCCTAGCACAGGCAGCTGGAGCACCTTGCCATGGACAGAATGGGGCTCTGAGGAACGAGAGAGGCAACTTACTGCAGGGCTGTGCCAGCCCGACCGTATTTTCTTCGTTGTGCTCTGCCAAGGACCTGCTACTTTGAACTGTCCATTGCTAGTGCACTGAAAGCTTTGGCTGCCGGGCAGTATGAAAATGTAATAAATAAATAATTTTGCCTCTCCGAACTGCTCATTGCTTTCTACCTGGAACATGACCAGCCTTTTCGCCACTGTGTACTTTATTCATGCATCTTTAATAAACATTTTACCCTGTTTTCACCAAAACCCAGACTGAGTGCTTTGTGGGCGAACATGGGATCACACCACGGATCTGGAGCGCAGCTGTGCCTTTACACACCCACCTTGCCCGCGACGTGCTGCGGGCAACCCGCAACTCTGCTGAGCGTTGCTGTTAAGGACACGAGCGGGCTTCCAGAAAGCCCAACACAGAGGTCTCCGTGGGATCCCTACTCAAACTTCCCCAAAGGACCAGGGAAACCCTGCCTGTTTCACTCTCAGTGGGGGCTGCTCCGCTGCCCCCCATGCCCTCAGACAGGGCTGCCTGCAAGCACCAGGGCACTGCAGCCTTCAGCACAAGGCTCTGGAGCTCCCTAGAAACAACTATGCAGAATGCAAGCAGGTCACCATAGTGCTGCAGGCTGCCTTAATGTCCAGGATTAGGACACACTTGGAAATCCAGTGCAGTTCCCCCCATTTATGATTTACTGGAGAGTTTCTACACTGCGGCCCCATGTGAAACTCCCGGGGTCTCCCCTTCAAAGAGCATGCTGGGAATTTTTAGTCTGGGAGCGCCAGAGAACAGTAGCCATTGTATCCCTCCTAAAACTATAGCACTCAGCATACAGGTCCTTTTGCACAATACAACAAATTAAATAAAATCTGTTTTCTAAAGACATGAAGACTAAATTTAATGAGCTACACACCTACTCAGCAGGATTGCACAAATTTCAGATATATGCAAGAACTCTGGAAGAAAAGGAGGATGTTCTAGCTAAAATATTCTCGTTTCTCTTCATAATTTGTGCAATTTTTACCATGTTATTCTGATCCGAGCATATTGTTACGACAAGCTAATATCAGGATTCCTCCATCCTACAGTCAGTGGCCATTTATACGCAGAGCAAGAAACTATACCGAACAGCCTTCACATACCCTTCAAGTCTGATTGTGCTGTCTAAAACCAAAACTTCTCTGCACACTGAAAACAAGCATTCCAGGAAAGAAACCAACAGATCCTGGATTTAAAACCAAGTGCCATCATTATAAAATGCAGTTGCTATTTATGAGAAAAAAATTCTCCACGGCCAAGCCAGACACTGACTCACATTTACTGTGCAAACAATGCACTATTTTTACACTAAATAGACTTTGCTCTTTTCCACACAGAAGCAGGCTGAATTAGATATGATATGACTGACTGTGCACATGTTCTTTAAAAGTTCAGCAGATTTACTGACACAAAAGTACTGACGGGCACTGAACGCTTTATCAGGCATGACCCGGTTTAATCTTTTGTGAACTTCCATCTTTGAACTGCTACCTTTTCCATATGAATACGTAAGCCTGGATAATCTTCCAACTAGTAAGTGATATGCACACAGGACCCAGAGGGCAAGAGGCATATCGATAACTTTTAAATATTTTTCAACATGCCCGGCCTAGAAATCAATGGTCTGTGAAGAGAACTATTGATTATTTCTCCACATGCTTCTCAGATATGCATCAATCCCGAGGGATGCTTTGATGGTAAAATGCAAAAGTTCAGTTTGAGGGAAGCATGAATTCTCCATTGATCAACATCAAGAGTGGTTTCTAAGACTGGCTGTATAAATGCAATTTGACTCGCTGGATTTTTGAAAAAGCTATTTAAATGCGACTTGGGAGAACTGCCACTCCTAGTCCTTTTTAAGGTGAAGCTGGCAAGCATTATGAGAATGTTCTATAAAATATGGTAGACTGCCAAAAACGACCAATATTTTTGGATTGTTCATGACACACATTCGCAGACACCCCCCTTCCAAATTGTGGCAGTATGCATTGTGTTAGCTCCAGTTATCATTTCCAGCTGTGTCAACGCTTTAAAAGTCTGAAAGCAGGAAATCCAAGAGGAAATTCCATCGTCAGTTCCCGGAGTTTTGTAACCCAAATGTTCTTCCAAAACAGGGCTCTTACAGGAATCAGGGAGTCATGGCTGTAGCCTTACCTCATATCTTCAAGTAAGTCACATTCTGTTTGATGCTTGGCTTGAAGTTTTGTCATCTGCTCCGTCTGAATGAGTTTTAGCTCTTGAGTAATTTTCACCTAGGGAAAAAAGCCACCCATTAAATGGTGCAACTGTAAATACATTTTATTCCTTTTAAGTTAACTATGGCAGTAAATTATGGAACACCCCTGATTCAACGTTAGCAACTCTATAAACAATGGCAATTTTTTGGTTTATATCTCACTTTCAGAATTTCACTGAGCTAGACGATGTGGCTCTAACGTCGGTCTCCAAAGATCTGTTTACTTTGGCCAGGCCCTTTCAGAAGGCAAGATGTTCCAGAACCACACATGACCCCTTCATCTCACTTTTTTAGGAACTGTAGAGAATTTCAGGAGAGTATCTCATGTCAAGAGTCAGTTCAAACAGTAGTAAAAAGCACCTGCAAAGAGCACCTGCACCTCTCCTGCACGAAGAGGAGGAGTAAACCGTTCTCTGCAGCACCAAACTTTAAAGAAAGCAGAAGATGCATGTCTCCTGAACCTCTTGAGAACATTCCTAAGTTTAGTGCTGCATAGGATAATATTCTTACATCTAGCATATACCAGAAAGGAAGCTCGGACATATGTTTGCAAAACACTGGAGGCAGAATTGATTCCGCCTCCCCCAGTGCAACACTTTCTGCTCCCCCAAGCCCTCTAGTATCTACTCGAAGACCTAGAGACAGGCACAAACAATATTTTGCTAATGAGCCAAGCCAAAACATGGGGATCCCTACCCTTACAATATCCTTTGAGACATACAATTCAAGAGCAAGAGCACCACAGTCAGCAGCCATCAGAGTCTAACTATTATTTCCCGAAGTGCCAGCATTTCATAAAGTCTATCTGAAATGGAATGTGCATGATGCAAAGATCTCTCTCATTTTGAGTAAAATCACAAGCAATGCTTTTGGACAACTAAACAGCCTAATAATAAGGAAGTTCTGAATTGCTGGAATGCCCTCTCACAGTCCAGTTGTGTTGCACCACGTGAACTTGGGCAGGAGAAAGGCAAGGCGTGAGACAAATCTCCCACCCCACCCTCAGAATTCAGGGATTCCACAAAAAGCCTCAGAAGTTGCTGTAATGAGAAAAGTGTAATTCCTGTGGATTAAAATTGGACTTATTTGTATCTGTCCTAGCTGAAATCTCTTAGGCAACCTATCATTGTTGCACTGATATGGAATTTGTAAACTGAATGGTAAAGACATGGTACCTCCTATGTTCTTCTAAAAAATCCAAATAGAATCCAAATTCATCCACAACAATAAAGATTGAAAGCCACTTGAAGCAAGAACACAGATATTGAGAAGGGGCAAACTTAATTTGTTTGGAATAACAAAACTCCAATACTTAATATGCCTAATAGTGCATTTAATGTAAAAAGCTGTCAATGCTCTACAGTTGACCAGATCAACCACCCATTCCTAACAGTTTCACTAAACAGAGTGTTTTCTAAATTACAATGGTCAAATATACCTTTGTATCTGAAAATGACCCCAGACTTGTTTCATGCTGATGCTAAGCTGCACAGCAGAAGGCAAATTAATTTGTTAGAGGTGGCAGCAACAGAAATCCTTAGAGATATGAAATATTAACTCTCTTATTTTTTGTTCTAATTGAACATCATGTTGAGTTATACCATCACACGGAAGAGAAAAAACATAGCAGTTCCTGAAATGGGGAACAGTGAAGACAGGAAATAGGAAGACAGGAAAAAGGCGGAAAGGGGCAGCCCCCTTCCCTCAAGCAAAGCAAAAGCAAAGCAGCTCTCGTCACCTCTCCTTGCAATCCCAGCTCAGAGTATATATCTCCCCCCCCCGACCCCCGCCGCAGCAAGGCCTTCCCAAGCCTAGCACCACCAAAGGGAGACAAGTTGTTCTGCCCAGTCTTTCCCAGAGACAATCAAAAGCCACCAATATGCATGCCTTTAACACATTTAAATAAAAAGAGAACCCAGGTATTTTTAAAAACCTGGAAAGTCAAACACGTTTGAATTTTATTTGAAAAACACACCAAATAATTCCTTAAACCCTATCCCACGGAATGGAAATAAACATTCCATGTGAAATCAAAACACAGCACATAAAGCATCGACACGGACACAACATAAATAAAGGGAGTGCAGACTGGAATGGCCTTTAACAGGAATAAACCGCTGCTTTCCTAGCAGAGTCCACCCTCAGAACAGAGAGTCGGTGTGAAGCAACCCAGCCCCTCCCCAAAACATGCCAAGCTATCTTGGTCCCCGGGGAGTCCCGGCCTTTGGTTGACACAGTTTGAGCACCCTACATGCGCCTCGTTTCCCTTAGGAAACACACACACGACGCAATAATAGTGCCTGTAGAATGCCAGCAGCGTGCACGCCACTCTGGACCCTACAGCATCCAAGTAACAATGCCGGCCTCCCCACCCACACCTCACATGGCACTCAGCGCCTATAAATAGCCCTGAGTAACTTCCGTTCCACCCCTGTCCACCCAGAAGACACTGCAAGACTCTCAGCCCCACAAGAAAAATATGCCTTCCCATGAAGGCATCAGTCTCACGAGAGTGCGGCACTGATGCATCTGTGAATCACACGGCTCTCCAGGCTTGCTAACAACCTTGGGGCGTCCACATCATCCCAGGTGGCCCCAGACCACAATCGCCCTTCACTCCCTAGCGCCGTTCTCTGTACTCGGTCCACTTCTCCCTGCCAAGGGGAAACGTGTCCATGGCACCCCATGCTGGATTCTAAACTGGATCCTAAACCCCATGCTGGATTCACCCCACGCTGAGGAGCTGGCCTTTCACCAGGTTGTCTCCAGGAAGGGGCACGGCAATCCTGCTTCCGACCATCCCTCTGTGGCCGCACGCATGTAACACAGACACTTTACCCGTGAGCTGTGCACCCCGCTGGCACTTCCCCACACCACCATCCAGGCAACCCCAAGCTGTCCCCTGCAGAAGCAGGACCAGCCCCCTCCTGCACAGAAACCAAAGCAGCTCCAGCACCCATGCCATCCGCAGGCGGGGCGCTTTCCCGCGGCCCCCCCGCGCCGGACCCCCCCCCCCCCCATCATCCCTCCCCCCAGCATGCTGAGCCTGAAAAGATTGCTGCTGACAGCCCCTTACAGGACCACTGCACCTGGCACCCCCCCCTTCCAGAGCAGGCTACCTCCATTTCGCCCAGTCCACTTCCAACTTTCCTTGACAGCTAGTGCAACCTTCCTACCCAGCCAAGGTAAGTCAGCCTCAAATGCGACTTGACCCCAATAGTGCCCACCATGACAAACCAACATAACCCTCGGCCCCCACGGCAACCTGCCCCCCCACACACAATGCCCCTGGAGCCTGCTGCTAAAATCGCTGTACTGCAACCCCACCCCACTTTCTCTTTCCCGTTTGGAACAACCCCCAACTGCTTCCCGTATCGGAAATCTTACGCCGCTGTTGCAACCATTCCAACTGCATCCCAAGGTCTGCCCCCAAGCCCCATACACACCCCCTCACAATCTTCCGCCAAACCCCACACACACCAGAGTAGCCAATGCTTCAAAGGCACTGCTGCATAGACCCACATGCCTGGCCCGGGCCCCCGACTCTGCTGCAGCCCACAGAGTACACCCCTGCCCCATTCACCCCATGCCCAGCCTCTCGATGCTGGAACACTTCCCCCCACCCCCAGAATGGCTCCATTTGCCTCCTCTGACATGCAGACATGCTCCCCGAGGCCATCGCTGCTACATGCTCCGCAAGCAACCCCCTCGTCGTCACAGGACCCCCACCCACCCCACCGGTGTGCACCACACTATTTCTGGATCTAATGTCCTTTTTGCCGGTTCTTCAGCCCGTTGCCCACCACCTGATCTGCTGCACGTCCCAGGTCCGGGCCTCATAAATAACGTCAATGGCCCAGGTAGCCATATGCTCGCCTTCCCTGTCTAGCCGACCTTCTATCCCAGGCCTTCCCCTCATCCCCTCCGCACACGAGAGCCTACAGCACTTTTACAGCAACCCCTCCTGCACCCCAAAGCCCCTTCTCTGCAATCCCATACGCCAAACGTTGTCGCTTCGCCATCTCCCACCTGCATCCCCTCTTAACCTTCTGCAGCTCACCTGGCTGGCCACTGGCACGAGCATCGATTCCGGTAAGTCCTGAATCGCATCCTCTGGGACTGACCCACCGCCCTAAAGAGCCCCCAGCCCCTTGCAACCCACCCTCCAGCTTCAATGCAACCTGTCTCCGCGGTCGCACGCCCCCCCAGCCCTGTCACGCACACCTAAACGGGCGCGCGCGCACGCACACACCCCGACACGCGTTTCTTCCTGTGCCATCTTTGCACTGGTCCCCCATAGCGCATGAAGGGCAGGGCTCCCCCCATCACGCAGCGACCCCCTCCCCAACCCACCCCACCCCACCCCGCCCCACGATCTCCTTTGCCACCAGAAGCCCCCGGCACTCCTCGCCCCCCGGCCGCCGCAATTAAAGGCTGGGCAGCCCTCGAGCCCCCACGGCACCCCCGGCACCCTCGCGAAACGGGGAAGCCCCCGCTGCAGCCCCCTCCCCCACCGCCCTCCTCTCCCTCCGTCCCCACCATGGCCGCCGCCGCCCCCTCCTCCTCCTCACCTTCCTCGGCGGGGGCTGCATGGCGGCGGCGCTGCCGCTCTCGGCCTCCACATCAATCCTCCCCCCGCCCCGGACGGCGGCGGCGGCGGCAGGAGCGGACAGCGAAGCGGGGCGGCCCGCGCGGGCGGAGAGCGCGGCGGCGGAGGCGACGACGGCGGCGGCGCCGGCCCGGTCTCTACAGCGGCAGCGGCGGCGGCGGCGGCAGCATCGGCGGCCGCCAGCGAGCGAGCGAGCGAGGGAGGCAGCGGGAGCGAGC